CCTCAAGAGCAATGAGAAAAACAGTCCTATTCTTCAACCTTCCAGACCAGGCAGTGGTGACACACACCTTTAATCCCAGCAAGGACACTAGATGCAATAGAAACTGGGTGGCAGTGGTGCATGCCTTTAATCCCAGCCTTAGAGGGGAATGTAAGATGGGAGGAGAAAGCTCTCACACACAGTCTCATTCTGAGATTCCTGGAGGCTGGATGGCATTTCAGATTGAGGTAGAGGCAAGAGCCAGTGTCCAACCCTTTTGCCTTTCTGACCTTCAGCTTGAACCCCAATATTTGCTCTGGGTTTTGATTAATTGTGGTACACCTGCCAAGTAGTCATTTCTGAGTTTTAGAGTCTGCCTTTCCAGCTTTTCTCACATTCAGTGTGTTTGCTGGGTTTACATCAACTTTACACAATCTATGGTCATCTGAGAGGAGAGCATGGACCAGCCTGTAATTTCTTAATTAGTTACGGAAGGGGAGGGCAATGCCCCTGGTGTTTGGTGTGATCTTTTGGTTGGTTTTCCCGGGTTCTGTATGAAAGCAGACTGAGCAATCCCTGTTAGCCAATAGGAAGCACCCTCCACGGCCTCAACATCAGCTCCTGACTTTAGAATGCTGCCCTGTTTGGGTTCCTGTCCTAACTTCTTGCAATGATAAAAACTGTTGTGCAAATGTAAGACAGAGAAATTCTCTCCTCCCCAACTTCCATTTAACCTTGGCGTTTCTTTCATCGCAGCAGTGGAAGACCTACCTAAGACATCCACTAACTATGCCCACTCCTCTGCCCATCCCAACTTCCTGCAGAGACCTTTTAAATTTCCTCTTTTGTGTGTCTCTCTCATTGCATGACTGCAGCCTGCTGACTCTCTGTATTTTTCTATTGCTGGAGCCTGTTGAACAAAAGTCCTGCTGTTGTATCAGGTAGCTCCCCTATGCACCCCTGGGCATCACATCCTCTGTAAAGGGATGCCTGTCCTCCGTCATGCTGAGTATTGTTTCGACAAGTCTCTGTCTCTTTGTGGACACCCTCAGATAGAGAATCTGTCCCTCCATCACTGACTGCAGCGCTCCCTGTGCTATTGGGATCCTCCTGCTGGGATACTTCCAGGCTCCTCTCTAAGTCTCTCCCACTCCCTCCTCACTGTGGAGTTCTCCACTGCTGCCTGTTCAAGTCTGCCTTTCTTCCTGCTTTCTCTGTCTCTGTCGCTTAATCAATCAAGGGCCTTTTCCATTCCAAACTTGACTCCTCAACTTGCTTCTATCCTTAAGTCTTTTTTCCACCTCCCACTTACAGATCTGATTAAGCCCCACCACCTTACAGTTTATTGTAATATGTCCTGAATGTGATCTGAGTCAAACATTCTCAGTGACCAGTAGATGACATATTTGATACCAGATTCTCACTGATCTAGACAAATTCTGCCAATAATCAGGTTTGAGTTCCTCTATCTTCAGACTTTCTTTGATCTTAGTTTTTTCTTCTCCTTTTGTGCCTCTTGGCAAAGTCCAAATCTCCTAAAAAAATTAATTAGAGCCTGGAGCCCCCAGTTCCTCTACTTTAATCTTTAAAATACAGGTCATAGCACCTCTATGGGTACTCAGAGAGTCTTTAAACTTACTTTAGAAACATCACATGCCAGTCCACCACCCTCTATATTGTTCTTAGCATTCTTTTCTGCCAACTACCCACAGAACATCCCACAGAGCTTCCAACACTCAGTGCCTTTTCCAGATCAAATTCTGAGATCAAAGTCATGGGAAGCTTCAAGGATTCAACCCAGACAAGATGATAAAGGAGTGAAAGCCTGGGTCTTTTCTCCGGGAAGAGCAAAGACTGTGGAGGTGCTTGCTGAGTGTGCAGGAAATACTGAATGAATAGGAGAGGAACACAGTTATAAACACCAAGAAACATTTCCACCTATTATAAAATTGACAATGCATCTGTGGTCTCTTGAACGATGGTTATGTCATGTTTGGTGCAATTATTATCTGGTTAAATATATAATGCATTTGCAATTTTACCTGAGATAGCTAAGCCATGTAACACATACCTAAGATCTGGTTACTGCTTTTAATTGGAAATCAAACATGAATTTGGAAGATGTGATTGTGCATCACGTTGACATTTGGTGGACTTATAAGAGCTGTAATTGATTGTCAATTTTATTTCTTCTGGACTTAGCGAAAGCTCAAGGATTCGGGTACAACTGTGAGAAAGATTTCTTTCTATCTTTTGTTTGTTTGTTTGTTAGTTTTTAGTCATGGTTTCTCTGTTTAGCCCTAGTTGTCCAGGAACTCACTCTATAGACCACACACTCAGAGATCTGCATATCTCTGACTCTAGAGTGCTACTGTAAATGCATGGGACACTAAAACCTGGCAGGATCCTTTGTCTTAATTAAATAATTTTAAGTGGAAAGAGGCACTTCTACTCTGAAAATTTTGAGGTGGGAAGATTCACCTTTACTCTATATTATATTCAACTGTATTTATAGAGACTGCTGGCAGTCTATAGAAAGGACATGGCAGAAGAATTCTTGCTTCCTTTGCCTTCTTTTTCTCACACCCACTACCAAGCCCGTTCCTTAAGTGGCATTGGAGTGTACTTCTTCAAGTTTCCAGCACATGCTAAAGACCAGGTGAGACATCTAGGCCTGTGGTCTGAACAATTACTGGAGATTTGGACCTTCTATTGGTAGACAACCATTGTTGGACTAATTGGACCACAGCATTTAAGATACTGCAAATACCTTCTTTCTTTACATATAGATTTCTTATATAAATTTGGTTACTCTAGGAACCCTGACATATGAAAATCAATCGTTCATTCACTGAATATGTTCAATGATAAATGGATACTTAAGGAGTCAATGTAATAGTTCCAGATAATTTAGCTCTGGTAAGGAACATTTCAACTCTTCATAATAATGAGGTTTTCATCAATGAGCCAAGCGTACACTTCATGCTGTCCTGACTTTTCAGTGAGACCATCGGTAATCACTGTCATCTCCGGGACAGATTGTGTGCAGCACACAGGGAGGGTGACACAGACGTGAGCTATGAAAAGACAGGTGCACCTTTCCCTCCTCCCCACTCAAGAGGCTCAGGAGTTTGAATTCTTGTCCTCCTGTTGGTGAAGCTGCCTTGGGAGACCAGGATAATTGTGACTAAATAAGTCAGCTAGAGGTATTTCACTGACTGATTTTGGACCAAGATGTCTGTTTCCTTGTCCTTCAGATGGGACATGCTGACATATAACTGTCACCACAGATCAAAACCTAACTTTCACAATGCCTGTCCTGACAAGAAATCAAGATCGTAATATAAAGCCTTCTACCTTCAAGTTGCTTCAACTGGGTACTGGGACTCACCGACAAGGACATCATCTAACATACCCAGGCTATCCTACACTCCTGGTCTCCTGGCCTCAGCCACTCCAGTGCTGGAATTACATGTGTGTATAACCTCAGCTGTGGCTTTTTCCAAAACCTTCCCACCTGACCTTTCTCCTTCCATCTCCCTTTCCTTCCTCCATATTTTCTCCTACTTACCCCTTCTCCTTCTTCCTCTTTTGCTTCTCCTCTTTTCTGTCTCTCTATGTCTCTTCACCCCTCACAGAAGTTAAGTATGAGCCGCCCTTTGCATATGTTCGAAGAGGTTTACCATCAAAACCCATGAGAGACCTGGGTGTTACCTCAGTGGTATGGGGCTTTCCCAGCAAGCACATGCTGCTGGGATTTATAGCACCAAGTTTATAGCACCAAAGGATTGGTCATGAGAGTAAACATAAAGAGGGAACTTTGAACATGTGCCAAATCTTCAACCAACAGTGTGACTCATGAGTGCCCTAGAGGAAAAACCACCCAGCCTGGCTCCTCATGGATCCCTGACACTGTGGGATATTTCATGTTTCTGCTTCAAGCTGTGATTTGGGGACAATTTATTCTGTATTAGTAGATGTGTGGAAAGACCAGTCTTCCTCTTAGTCCTCAGAACCAAGGGAGAAAGGAAACGCAGACAGGTCAGAAGACAGCATGCAGGCTCACCCTAAAGTGACTAAGGTAAATCCTTCATGCTCTGACTCCATCTTGTGTTTGCTCACACAGTTCTCAGATCCCTGTGTCCACCTGCAGCCATGACTGTCTTCACATGTATTTGAGATTCCCATGGACTTGTGATGGTGCAGAAGAATCACCAGAATAAGTTAGGGAAACCAAATCAGATAAAGATGTTATAGACCTACATTTACTGCTATGCGATAATTGCGATAATTACACTGCTCTGCCAGGAAAGAATATTTCAAATTACTCCAACCTGCATCTAACATGAATGTAAATTATGTTCATTGTGGTTTGTATCTTTCAAAATGTTGTGCTTCTGAGCTTGGACTGTTACAGATTTTCACAGACATAAGTCTGCTCTTGCTGGGATCTTTAGTAAAAGTGCTTAAACCATTAATTGGCTTAATAGCATTGTTATCAATAACTGTCTTATGTGAATCATTTTAACACGACAGCAGTGTCTTATAGTGGATTCTTCCCTAGGCAGAAACCTGAAATCTGCCCTTCTTTCTCTGTCCCCACAGAAACAATGATGGTCACCACTGTTGATCCCTCCTTCATGCCTCAGACCTTGTTCCATCCTTACCAGCACCTGCTGAGGTAGGCTCCATTATTGACTGCCAACTCTGCAGGATTCCAGGATCAGAGTCCAGTTAATGCTGAGCCAAGCCTAGTGATCTGAGTGGTTGGATGGTGTCCCAAACCCTCATCCTCTTGATAATGTCTTTGACGCACAAAGCTTGACTTGCCTCAGGCTCAAAGTAAAGGAGCCATGAATAAACTTCTCTGTTCCTGAATTTTGTCATTCATAAAAGGTAATAATAATAGCATGTGTTTCAGATGCCCTACATGTCAGAGAGTGTGAGTGACAATCTCTACTTCCTTATGTTGTCACTAGAGGCCAACAGGAGCTGAGTGAATATAGACCAGCCACCTTCTGTGCAGTTATATGTTTATTGATCCTTTGTTGCAAGCCCTGCATTTAGGGTAAGGAATACAGGGATATCAATCTGGCATTTGAGGGTGATAGCTGCAGAGTAAGAAAATGGGTGCTCTACCATAAGTAAGGGTGCTATCAGAAGAGGAGTCTTTCTGATCAATCCCCTGTCAACATGTGTGAAGCCTGAAGCATTGGTCAGATTACTACAAAGGGCTGTGGGTAGCAGAGCCTGCGGACTGGAGAAAGGAAGCACAAAGGAGGAACTTGTCACCAGGTGGTACCCGATGCGGAAATGAGATTCAGTGCGGCAGGTTTCCTCTCAGTCCTGGGCCTGATCCTCAGGATTGGCCTGTAAGCTTGTATGATCCCAGCAAGGTTGTGGAAACTGAAAGCAGATGTGCCCAGAGATTGCCCTGACGGAGCCTACCTGCCAGTGCCCACACTTGGGGTATAGCACATACAGGGCAGTGAGCAAGGGGAGGGCATAAAGACAGATTCCAGGTTCAAAGCATGAGCAGATGCTCCCAGGAGGACTGAGAGATGGACACCTAAGTCTAAGACTCCTGTGCATGTCGGCACCATAGAGTTAGTCACAGTCACTGTCAAAGCCAAGTGTACAATGCCAATCAGAGAATTTTGTTCAGGATGCACACACCCACATGCATGCTCCCTCCAGGGCACCTGGGCAGAAGGCTCTCACATTGGAAAGTTCTAGCCATACTTGGGGTTGGAGATTTTGGCCAGAAAGAGGGTCATCTGTGTATTTGCTTCTGAGACAAACATCAGGAATGGCCTGTTGAAACGCACTGACACTGAAATATATTTTGCACAGCAGGGGATCCATTTGACTCCTGTGGCAGCCGCTGCTTCTGTGCCTTTCTCAGCCACGTCCAGCACAGCCTTGTGGACCACCTGTAGGAGAAAGACATCATTCACTGGAGATCAGGGAGGGCAGAAGAGGAGATTCCTGTAGCAAGTATCGACTGCTGGCCTCAGAGACTGGTGAGCTTGTTTGTTCCTGCCATGAGCTCTACCCCTGGGGTTTCCAGGTCTCTGCTCAGGGTGTGAGATGAGGCCACCCAGGGTCTCCTCAGTCTCTGAGAATCTCTACTGTCCTCAAACCCACCACAAACTGGAGGATGGGTATAGGTAACTCCCACATTTCTTCACAGGCACTTTATCAGGAGACCCACGAGGAACAGCCAGAGTGCTGGCAGCCAGTGCAGGGTTCAGCATCCCGCCTGCTCCAGCCTCCTTGGCACACACAGCTGCAATGAATATGTCATTGCTTCTCTTTCCCAGACCACCATGCCCTGCTGGTACAGATCAGAGCCCAGGGCTCTGTGTGGGCACTGGAGAGAACACTAAGCATTGCCAGGCTGTGCATCTGGGGATGTAGTGTGAGGTCCTAAAACATCTTCTCTCTTATTCCTAAGCTTTTCATCTCAACTGCTACCCATCCTTTCTATTTCCTGTACTGCTATTGTTCTGTGTGCTATTCAGGAAGTTCTGAGCCAGCTCCTAATGAAGAAGCTGAGACTGGAAGTGCTATATGGGTTGTGGGTGGCACCTGCATTGCAGAACCAGATGGTTACTATGGTGGTCTTACCAAAGCACAAGCTCTTTTCCATCCCGGAATCCTGAATCAGATTATGTTCATGCGGTTGAGTAGGGATGGGCTGCATGGTATCTAGGGAGCATATATAGGTTTTAATCTAGCTCTCCAAGGCATAAGGGAATCTCAGGCTTTCTCACATACACATCATTCCTTCACCCACACACCTCATCTTCACCATATATATTCTGAAACCCAGAGAGAGCCACCTAATATTTATTGGTATACCTGAGAGACTCTCAGGTCCTTGGACCCTGTGATCCCAGACAGATCAGCCTGTGTGGAGAAGACTTTCCTGATGCCCAGCTGTGGAAGGATGTCCTGCAGGCTGTAGTCTGTGGAGATGGAGAACTTGGGCAGGGAGAGCTCATCGATCTTCCTGAGAATGACAAAGAGAAACATAAGAGTCACTGAATTCTGGCACCACCAGCCTACCTTGTTGCTAAGGCATTTCTCCATGGACAGTCTTCTCACCGGAGCACAGCCCTCCTTCCATACATGCATAGACCTCTTTGTTTTTCCTGAAGCATTAATTAACCGTTAATGCCTGAGCGTGTTTACAGTGGGCAGTCAGTGTGGCTAGGTACCAACTATTCCCTTACCAAGAATGCTTTTCTCTCAGATCCAAAAATGCAGTCCTTCCCCTGTCATGTGGACTCTGACTTCATCTAATGATCTTCTAGGTAAAGCTGCACCCTCCGTCTGACCCCAGCTGTGCTTTTCTTGGAAACTCCCCTTTTGGGTGTCACTGTCTCTCACTTTTTAGTAGTCAAGTCATGATTAATTGTATTTTCAATCACCTGCTCTCTGCTCTTCAATTCCTAGATAAGCCTGTGAGGATAAGAAATTTTCTTCTTGAGTCTCTGATGTCCTCTCAGGGTCTAAAATCATAGCACAGCACAGAGTAGGTCTTCAAGTCATCACTGCACACTGGTGCATGAAGGAGTGATGAGGGGATGAGACGGCTGCACGGGGCAGAGCTGATTCTCAGAGCTGATCTCCTCCCACCCTCACTCCCTCTGTCCTCCAACACCCATGCAGAATTCTGTGTAATTACAGCCCGTTAAACACAGAAGACTCTTCAGCACCCGCTCTAGCTCATCCTCTCTTAAAAACAACTAAAATGACAGTAAAATTTAAGTTAGTAAAATTCCCCAACTCCCCAGTTTGCAGAGGAAACTCACCTACTCTCCACCTGCCCCTGCTATTCCATCACCACAGCCGTTACATCATCCGGCACTCCACCCGTCCCTACTGACCATCCAACCATTACACAGGTATTAGTGAGGTATTGAGGTATAGAAACACTGGGCTCCAGTCCAATTGTAGGTTGTTGACTCAGGTCAGCTCTGTGTTCTGAAGGCACTCACCTGTGCCTCAGAGAGTCTCTCCACTTCCTCAGGGTCTCTGGCTGCAGGCTGGCTTCCACCTGCTGCATCCTGCCCTGGTCAGGGAGGATGAACAGGGCGCTGGCATTGCCTGTGTACTTTAGCTCCACCACAGTGCAGGACAGCTCCTCATCCCGGAAGTAAGGTGTGGTCAGGTTCTCAATGTTCATCATGGGCACCTTCACAGATCTGTCCTTATCCAAGTGAAACTCAGATTCGAATGTGTCACGAGGGTCAAAGGGAAACTTCCATTTCCCTAAATGTGGAGCAGACCATTAGAATGTAACAGCAGAGGGGAGACCCCTCATACACCCATTTCTGCCTAGCTTCTGAGTCATGAGAACAATCCTTCCATCTAAAACACATAGTGTATACTATCCCATGGTGGTTTCATTATCTATGTTGAAAACCAAGACCTTGGTAGATGCAGATCTTTGAATGAAAAGGATCCACATGCTTGGTTTGGAAAGGGGAACTCAAAACCAAAGCCTGGTTCCTTGAGGTGCCTGAGAAACAATCTTGGATCTGAGGGTGTGCATGTAAGAGAGAAATGAGAGTGAAAGGGGGAGACTAGGGCCTGGGGAGATTGGGGGATCCCCTCTTCCTTAGGAGGACCCTTTCTAGAAGGCAGTTCCTTGTGGGACATGTTTTCAGTGAAGCAGGAAGAGACTGAGTCCTCCCACACCATGATCTATCCATGGCACCTAAGAGGACGAAGAGTCCAGAACCAAGTGTGGGCTTAGACTGAAGCTCTAGAGACCTGCAGTTTCTCAGGGTCCAATTACCAGGACCCCATAGTCAATGGCTAAGACATGGATATTGAATCCTCATCTCATGCATTGGCCGTGTTCCCGTCCATGAAATCAGATATCCTGCCCAGACTTGCCCCACATCCCAAGCACATGTTATCATTTGCAACACACCCTAGAAGATTGGTACTTTAACAGTTTCTTGCGATCAGGATGCAGCAATATAAACATACAGCACCACATCCTCATAGCCAAGCAGAGTAGGAGTTTGGGTCCTGGGCCAGCAGAGGGAGTCACACCCACCCTTCAGGCCATTCCTCTGCTTCCCCTCTCCTCAGAGCCCAGCAGTACTGGGGCCATCCTGTCTTCCTATCCTTCTGTCTTCCTGTCTTCCTCTCTTTCTGTCCTCCTGCCCTCCTATCCTCCTCCCTCTTCTATTTAAGGCCAATGGGTTTTCTATCTGTTGTCTCAGAACCTGTCCTCTGTCTTGGACTAGGGTATTTACAAGTCCAGCCTCAAATCCACCCCAGATCTAGTCGCAGCATGATTTTCATCAGTCATTGTTCTGTGGTCTGTCACCTCAATCTCTGCTCTCTACTAGGCCTGTATTTGTGGATTTGGACTCTGGATGTCCATCCCAAAACCCTTAGCCAAGGCAATTCCATTCCAGTCTCCCAAAACACCAGCTCCTAACTCCAGATTTTCTGGCTCAGGATTGAGTCTTGGACACTGTGGCCTCCCAGGCTGCCAAGCTAGTAGTCTTACAAAATCAGACTCCACAAAAAAGCCATACACTAAACATAGAGCACTGAGTGGCTGGTTTATATTCTCACTAATGACTTTGCCCCACTCTCTGCCTTCCCATGCCCAGGTCCAGATCAATGCAGAGAGAATCAGGGGAGAGGTCCTGCATAGGGATGCGTGAAGGATTTTCCACTACCTGTTGCAATGCTATTTTCCCTTTAAGATGGGGAGAGCCAGGCTGCTTAGGTCAAGAACTCCTCAGCCCATCTGCACCCACCTAGAGACAGAGCTTCTCCAACAGGGAAGGACACCTTCTAAGAAGAATATGAGAAATGTTTGAGTGGACAGAATGGGGGACATCATCTCCTCAGGGAGAAGTTGTGGCTTCTTCTCACTCAGGTCTAACTGGATATCACAGCTCTGATTTCTACTAGTCAATCAGTTTAAGTCAGAGCCAAAATGAACCCCTGAGAGCTCAGGGCTTCTGTGGAGTAAGTACAAGGAACTGCAACTATTATCCAGTATTCCCCAGACAACAAGTAAGGCCAGTTAGTAAAAGAAGTTAGGCACCCATGTCTCCAAGCCCATGCCCCCTCCTTTCCAGTGCTCAGTGTATGGACACAAGATGCCCAACCAACACCTTCTCCATCCACCCATGAACAGTGCCCATCCTCACCTTTAAAGTAGATGTAGTTCACCAGCACCATTAATGCATCCTTATCCAGGTCTGAGATCAGGTCCTTGATCTTCCCCTGGGTCTGTTTCCTCACATAGTCATTGATGAGCTTTACAGCCTCATGAGGCTGCTGGAAGTCGGTCATGGAGGCCTCGGCCTGGTAGAATGCCCTGGCCTTCTCTTTGAACTCCGTCAGCATCTGCAGGCGCTTTTCTACAAACATGGCGCTGCCTGTGCTGATCTGCACCTGGTCCCCTGGCTGGCTGAGCATGTGGAGGAGGTGCCCAAAGTCCTGGTGGATGTCTGCCTCAGAGGCTTTGCTGAAATTAAACTTGAGACCTTCTAGAATCTCTTCCAGGGTTTTGCTTCTTGCTCCCAGGGATAGGACGGCCAAGGCAGTTGAGATGCTGAATGGGGAGAAGACGATGTTTTTGTCTGGGTTCTTTAAGACCAGCTCCTTGTAGAGGCTGAAGGCAAAGTCATTGTTGCTGGATGTCATTCTTTGATTCTCCCCTGATGTTCTGCTGTTTTGATTTTCCTGGCCTGCAGTATCCCTTCCCATGGTGCCATCTGGTCTGGAGAGGACATCAGGGGAGATCTCAGCCATCACTCTGGTATCCTGGTTGAAAAGAGAAGATCCTTTTATCTGGGATGACCACATGATTCCCTGACCACCTCCTAGTCCTCCCCCTTGGCCTGCACTGTGTCCCTTTGCTGCCTTTGCGTCTGTGCGTGGGAGGTGCCCTGGCCCCTCAGATGGCAGTGCCACATTCTCTGCTCCTCTTCACTACAGGAAGAAGTGTTGTTGCTGTGACCAGTTTTCCTAAGGGAGAACCAAGATCCAGAGTTGAAGGGATTGGCCAGGGTCACAGTGTAAGCAAGAGAAGACCTAGGGATGTGCTAACGACTTGTGTAGTCTGAATGTCACCTCTTCACTTCTTGCTTCGCTCAGTAGAAAACAGGGGACCTCTTCCTTTGCGCTTGTGCCCTCAACCACATCACCAACTTCTAGTCAAGACTCAAAAAGAAATCTCACACAGAGTGCACCCCAACCACCAATGGATATGTATAAGAAATCTCACAGCCGTGGGTTTAACTTAGTGCAAGCATCTGGGAGTGTGTGTGTGTGGGGTAATAGAGGACAACACTGGACTTGGCCCCCTGAGAACAAGTGTCAGAAGGATGGAGATGGGGAGGATCTTCAGCCGTGACAGTATTCCACATAGTGGTTTGTATCTCACCTTGAAAGGACTCCTGATGGGATGAAACTTGAATGATGTTTGAATGAGTCTCTGCTACCTGGACCAGATTTCATTTTGAATCTCAGGGTGAGGTATGGTGGCAAGAAATCAGTGGATCTTTCTGGGCAACTTGTTGAGTGACCCAGGTTAAAATATTAGTAAAAGTTTATGACTTTTTATGGTCATTATATGTATTTCTAGGTAATGTCCAGAGGATTATCTCCTCCGTACACCACTGTAGTGGGGACACAAGCATCATAAAATCTACAATTGAAGCCAGGCAATGCTGGCACACGCCTTTAATCCCAGACCTAAGGAGGCAGAGGCAAGCGGATCTCTGTGAGTTCGAGGCCAGCCTGGTCTACAAGAGGTAGTTCCAGGACAGGCTGTAAAACCACAGAGAAATCCTGTCTCGAAAAACAATAACAAAAAATAAAAAACTACAGTTGAAGCTTTATGATTATGGCAATCACTGTCACACACTTTTAACACCCGTCTAGGTTGCTGAGGACATCAGAGGAGACAGCAGATGGTAGGGGAATGGGTAGGGGAGAAGAATAGAGGGAGCAGGGGAGGAAGGTTTGGAGCTGAGGCACATGTCCCCAGGCCGGTCACATGACTACAGTGGGGCCAGGAACTTTAACTCCCTCTACCCTGTGTCCTGTGTTTACTGTCAGATGGATGCATCCATATCACAGGAAAAGCCTTCAGTAATATTTTTATCAAAATTATTTCCGCAGCAAACAGGTGAGTCTGTGAGTTATAGACTTGACTCAGTGGCTGAGCTGTAGTCTTTTCCTTATTAGGAGATGCTGGGTCCCTTTTTCTTGGTCATGGGATCTGCTCAGAAAGTGAGATTTCTGATCCCAAGACTTTTACTGTCTGCTATAAGCATGTAAGTGATTCCACCTCCCCCATAGGGATTATGTGAATTTCCTGTCTCCCTCTGCTTCCGACAGCAACACAGGAGCTAGTCAAGGTCTCAAAACTTCCTCCCCGTGGAGGGTGGGAAGGGGCAGTCCCCATTCCCTCTCTAGGAACAGAGCCTATGATTCCTCCTCTATCTTCCATAGACAGGAAGACCCAGACTGAAGAAAAAGATTTTTCTGCTCAGCAGAAATGTTTCCTGATCCTAGCCCAGTGCCACAGGATCAACTCCTCCCCATCCAACCCAAGATCCAGGTCATCTCCAGTACCACACAGCCCTGCAAAGGCTTCTCCTCTGTCCTCAGAGAGAAATTATGGGAATTACCTGCAGAGCTGAAGGCAGCTACCCGAGTTTGCAACAGCTTGGTCCTGATGATCTGGTTGCTGCCTGCCTGCTGTGTTGTTCTTCCCACTGCAGAGTGACATGTATTTATCCTCACCAGTGACTCCTCCCTCTTCTTAGGAAGTGCTGGCCCAGACAAGTTGTGCTCTGTGCTCAGTCTGGAATGGACTGATCGCGTGATTTCTGGTATTGCACATTGAGAAGCTCTTCCTAGCAGAACCACTTTCTGATTACAAGTCGAGTGTGGTGCTTTCAACTTTCTATATCCCGCATTGTTTGATAGTCTGTGTGGAACTGGGGAAAAGTCAGAGTTAACAAGGTAGGGCACAAGCCCTACTTTTCACCAGATAGGGCTGCAGCTAACTTTTATTGCAGACTTCTTAGGTAACTTCAAAAGAATAGAAATCTATTTCCATGCTCTGTGATCTCTTAATAAAAACTCATACATTAATAAACGGAGATCTCAATGCTAACAGGGCTCCACCTCCATCCGTGTAATCATCCTGTCTGGCAGCATTGGGCATAAACTAATTAAATGCTCACTCTGCCCTCTTTGGCATCAGACTTCTGAAGGGAAGCTGCCTTGTCTGGCACTGAACGGAAATCCTTGAAAGGATTCTGTGTCTGCAGAGCCTGGATGACTGATCTGAATTCCAGTGCTGGGGAGAGATCGGAACATTGCAGGGCCAGAGGCTAATTACCTTCTCCTGGGCTAAGTGCTGCCTCTCTGGAACAGACAAGTTTGCCTCCCTCTGTGTCAGAAGTCAACACAGTGACAATAGACTTCTATTACTTACAGACAAAGAGCTTTAATACAAAAGCTAAGGATGCCAGCAGATAGGAACTTCACTCCATAGAGAAGCTGCCCAGCCTTTATGCACCTGCCTCTCTGAGGTTCCCACCCCTGCATCTCAAAGGTTTTTTTGTGTGGTTAAGCTATAAAATGTTTGTGAAATTGCTTCAACACCGGAGAATGGAAAGTGGGTAACAAAAATCTGTGTTCTCAGATCATTTGAAACTCTAAATGGCTCCAGAAGAAAGTATCTGTTAGTCCCTTTAGGAGGAGAGCTGTGTTTTTTTGCAGCAATAGTGGGTTTAGAGACTCAGCAGACAGGGCTTAGGTCCATGCTGCTGTCCCCAGAATGGAGGTGCTGGTCTTAACAGGAAGGATTTTGGTTGAGTCAACAGAATCCTCAAGGCAGGGCTTTGTGTATCAGAGAACCTGATCACCCATGATGCATTTCTCTTTATCAGGAGTGACCCTAACCTTTCCACAAATGTCAGCCACCTCAGCAAAAGCGCCCAGTCTCCTCTCAATCCAGTCAGCCTGAATTAGCTCAACGTTCTTCACTCACTGTCACATAAAATCTGTTTCCTTTTCTTTCTGTTCTTCTGCTTCTCTCTGCCCCGATCCCTAGAGAAACACAGCTTTGGCAGGTTCATCTTCATTAAATCTTTCTTTTTCCCATGGAGTTGTCCTCTTTGGTGAATTTATCCTTTCCTCTTTTACATTTGATGTAGAAGTCAAGGAGAATAAACTGGGCCCCATCCAAGGGGACCTATCCACCTCAACTGAACATAAGTGTTGATTTGGACACACCTCAGTAAGATCACTTCCTTCTACTGGTTCTTCCCCCAAAATGTTCAACTTCAAATGTTAGTGTTGGCCTTTCCAGCTGTTTCTCTCCTCCACTGTACTCGCTAGCTTCATGTCATCCTGACACAAAGTATACCCATCTTGCTTCCATCTTTAAACCTCTTTTGCACCTCACACTTACAGATATGGTTAAGCCCCACCACCTTATTTTTTAGTGCAATATGGCTTGGCAGCACTATAAGACTGACAGATGCTCTCAATGGCCATTAGATGACTTATTACATTACCAAATTCATATTGATCTTGGCAAATTCTGCCATCTCACAGGTAAGTCTTTTGAGAAACCTTATGTTCATGCCTTTGTTCCCCTCCATTCTTGTTCCTCTCTCTGTGCCTGATGCCATACTCAACATATTATAAATGTCATGGCCTCTCCCAATGCTAATCAGAACCTGGACTTGTCTCGTATTGATCCTGATAGTATCTTAAACTTCCCTCTGAAGCATCACAAGCCAGGCCTACATCCTCAGCACTGCTTTCAAGATTCCTGTCTTCCATGCTCCCACAGAGCATCCCACATAACTCCCAACACTCAGGTGATTTTCTAGCACAAAGTTCCAAAATCCTTCCACAATCCTTCCTAAAGCATAGTAGGTCTGTCACAGCAATACCCTCTACACTGGTACCATCTTGTCTTACTTCAGTTTTTCTGTTGCTGGCATGAGACACAATGACCAAAAAGCAATTTGGGAGAAAATGGTTTATTTGGCTTTTACTTCCACATTGCTGTCCTTCATGGAAGGAAATTAAGACAGGAACTGAAATAGCAAAAGATTCCAAGTCCAGGAGCTAATGCAGAGGCCTTTTAGTGTTGCTGCTTTCTGACTTACATTTTCTTCCTTCTTCTTTTTGCTTTGTTATAGAAACACCATCCCAAAGATGGAATCATCCACAATGGTCTGAGCCCTCTCCCATCAATAGCTAATTAAGAAAAAGGCTTACAACCAGATCTTATGGAAGCATGTTCTCAGTAAAGGGTTCATTCTTGCCGATAATACTAATTTGTTTGTCCAGTTAACATGTCAGCTCAGGGGCTATGAACAAAATGATCACAGTATCAGAGATGTAGTTACAAATGGATTTGACAAGAAAAAAAAGAAGTAGAAACAAATTAAATTTAGCTGTAGTCATTCAGTTTGTAGATTTTGGTACACCATACCCTGAGTTTCCTAATAAAGCAAAATCAAAGTATTAACACTCAAAAGGAATACATACATCAAAATTAATCTAGTCATTCAGAAAAATAAACGAAATAGTTAAAGGGCAAGATATACACTTTGTTATTGTTGCCTGGAGTTTTGCTCTGAATTACAATATCCTATCTAATTTGAAATACTTGCCAGAGAAAGAAAGGGGAGGCAACTGAGTCTCAGGAACTAAATAAAAGGTCAACTGTTGGGGAGAACAGGAACTTGAAAAATTACAGAGGATCCCACCCCAGCAGTGGAAAAAAAAAGTAGACATTCTAGTAGGTAGAAATTCTGACCAACAAGCTACAAAAAGAAAAGGTACTGTAAACAGGGTCAGGGATGACAGTTAGGTGTAGTAACCATGTTGGAAGGGCCTGTGTATTAAAACAACTATATTTGAGTTATCCATATTCGTTTTTGTTTTTGAGACAAGGTTTCTCTGTAGTTTTGGTGCCTATCCCAGAACTAGCTCTAATTTGGTAAACCAGTTGTCTTTTTATTGGTCAACTGGTTTAACAAATTAGACAATAAAGTTATAGCTACTTCAGCCAGCTGTAGTCTCCCATCCTGGGACAGGTAGTTGTGTAGCTGTTATTTCTATCCACAAAATTTCTATTACAAAACAGCTACAAAGGATACGAAGACAAATTACAGAACCAAAAAGGTATTTTAAAAGTCATCACACTGGTGGGAGGAGAATATGATCAAAATAATTTTTGTATGTGTATGAAATGTTCAAAGAATTAATAAAATAACTCCATAAAGAAAAAAAAAACAAATGGATTTGACAACATGGATTACCAGTCAGCAAAATGACCTTGCAATCTTTGCTGCTGAGTAACAGATCTGCCAGTATCAGAGACCCACACTGAGCTCCAGGTAGGGTGTTATTCTCCTGGACATCTAGACTACAATCTGGAAACAGGTTGGATATATTGCATCTCTTTCTCTGTAAAAAGGACAAAGCCTTTTCCCTATTGGAGTAGATAATTGTTCTGGTTATGGATTTGCTTTTCCTGATGAGTTGCTTCTGCAAAAACCATCATCCAAAGACTCAACTAATGTATAGTCCATGGTTATGTTATTTCACACACTATTGTGTCTGACCTAAGAACTCACATTACACTCAGAAAAATGCAACGGGGAGCCTGGGATCAAGAAATTCACTGGCTTTACTCCCATGCTCCCTACCATTCTGAATCAGCTGTCCTGATAGAAATATGGAATGCCTTTCTGAAAACACAGTTACTTTGCCAATTATTTGGCAGCATTCTGGAGGGCCAGGGCAGGGTTTCCCAGAAGGTGGTATAGGCTTTGACCCATTGTTGAATACATAGCACGGTTTCTCCTGTAGCCAGGATCCACAAGTCCAGTAGTTAAGAGGTGAAAAGGGTCATGTTTCCACTCGTTTTCAACCCTAGAGACACACTATGAAGATATCTGAATATTATCCCGTATCTCACTTCCTGTTGGCCTAGAAACTTGTTCTAGAGATTGGGTTACTCCTGCCAGGAAGCAAAACATTCCAGTGAATTGAAAGCTCAGACTTGCCCTAGCTGTTTGGGTTTCTGATGGCTTTTATCCAACATTTAATAAGGGAATAACTGTGTTAGGTGGAGCGATTGTTGCAGATTATCAAGTAAAAGTGAACTAGGTTTCCTCTGAATTGAAAGCTCAGACTTGCCCTGGCTGTTTGAGTTTCTGATGGCTTTTATCCAACAGTTTTGTAATGGAATAGCTGTGTTGGGTGGAGCAATTGTTTCTGATTATCAAGTAGAATTCGATTGCTTGTCCACAGTAGGGGGAGAAAGATTATGTCTGGAGGTCATGTGATCCTATGGGGCATCACTTTGTGTGACCACATCCTGTGATTAAAGGTGGGAAACTTCAGGAAATAAATCAGGCAGGATGACAAAGGTCATGAAGGCCTGGGTCATGTCTGCAGGAAAGAGTGAAGACCTGGTGAGGTGTTCGCTGAGTGCGCAGGGAATGCAGAGTGAGCAAAGGAGGACCACAGCTACAGATTCCAGCAAAGGAGGCTGCAGAAATGAGGGTTATTATTGACACGAGGGTTTCTCTTCTTTTCTGATTAAGTATGTGTTTGTACAGATATTTGTATTTTCTTTCCTCAATTTATTCATCAGATAGTGTTACATCAATTAAGAGAATATCAGTGGATATAATAATCAAGTTTTAGATACTGAAACAATGTTTCCTAAGAAACATGTTCTCCTATTATAATATTATAATGGATCTGTGGGGGAAAA